ACCGTACGGCCTGAAGCAATGAGCAAAACGCTAAAGCTTACAAGTCCAATGTTTCAAGAACAGGTGATAATTTCTTTGCTCTGCAAGACTAGGTCTAGTGAAATATTTAATTTTACCAAAACAGTATGTGTAAAATGTCCAATTTTGTTCATGACGTCACACTGACACAAGTCACAAGAGTGTCATTCTTTTTTTTTCTTTAACCAATCTTAATTACCAAAAATTAATCCAGATATAAATGATTTTTTAAAGTCTGACCCATTGGTACATTTACATGCATGTACATCTTTGTATAAGACATGTTTTCAAACATGAGATTTATTTCTTACATACATGTGCAAAGTGTATTTATTAATATTATGTATTTTCTATTTCTAAGCAACACACTTCCAGCTTTACAACATGTATACTTATCTTTAATACTTAAGTTATATACACAAAATAAGAAATATGACGATGAAAGGAAAATATACCATATTATCTCTAATTTTTCATCACTTTTAACATTTCTTTTTGAGAAAAACTGAATTTCATATATCATCTGTTTTTTTGTAAGGTGTTAAAATTGAGTACTTCATTTTGTACTTGTTGGAAAAAGGTGACATATAATATACATTTAAGAGTTGCATAAGAAATTTGTCAATCCACATCAGCTTTTTAATTATATACATGTATATAAGTACACAAATGTACTTTTACAACAGTACTGAGATTTTTTAAATAAATTTATTCATTACTAGTTATGAATAAAATATGAAATAGATGTGTGTTTATTTTTTTGTCTATCTGCATTTGTATTTAGAAAAATATCTATAAAAATTTAGTAATTTTGCTTTCCATTACGAAACATTTACATGTATAAATAAACAAGAAACAATTCATATGAAAAATTAAGTCTGCGCAAATGTTTGTGTCTGTCAAACTACATAAAGACTGTATAGCCTCAGTAACTATTGATTTCTATCATCTTTAACACTTTCAAACTTACAACTGCAACATGTATCATTAATCAAAAATCTCCAGGGACACGTCAAATAGTCATACTGCATGAGGATCAGAATAAGCTCAATCAAGTGTCATGGCTCAATCATATTATGCAGCAAGGAAGTCAATATAATGTGAACCTTCTCTACTGGTATACCATGTATGGCAACTAAATACAATGTGAACCTTCTCTACTGGTATACAATGTATGGCAACTAAATACAATGTGAACCTTCTCTACTGGTATACAATGTATGGCAACTAAATACAATGTGAACCTTCTCTACTGGTATACAATGTATGGCAACTAAATACAATGTGAACCTTCTCTACTGGTATACAATGTATGGCAACTAAATACAATGTGAACCTTCTCTACTGGTATACAATGTATGGCAACTAAATACAATGTGAACCTTCTCTACTGGTATACAATGTATGGCAACTAAATACAATGTGAACCTTCTCTACTGGTATACAATGTATGGCAACTAAATACAATGTGAACCTTCTCTACTGGTATACAATGTATGGCAACTAAATACAATGTGAACCTTCCCTACTGGTATACAATGTATGGCAACTAAATACAATGTGAACCTTCTCTACTGGTATACAATGTATGGCAACTAAATACAATGTGAACCTTCTCTACTGGTATACAATGTATGGCAACTAAATACAATGTGAACCTTCTCTACTGGTATACAATGTATGGCAACTAAATACAATGTGAACCTTCTCTACTGGTATACAATGTATGGCAACTAAATACAATGTGAACCTTCTCTACTGGTATACAATGTATGGCAACTAAATACAAACATTTCTTGCTTCCTGGCAGATTAAAAATAGGGTGGGTAGGTACAGTGGGTAAAACGATTTTTATTAAATATTTTACATGGACTTTATAAGGGAATATTCTGGGCTGTAACAGTGCTTTATAAAAGGTCACTTTTTGGCAAAATATTCCTGCTATATAATTGATTAGTTGCATGTAAGTCTCTATGACAAAATAGAGCGAGTAAATCAAATCGTTTAGATTAGTTTTTAGACTTTAACAGTAAAATGAGAATGTCTGGGCTCACTTGATACAACATAGACCCAATCTTTGAACTCTCCAGTTTTGAACATGATGTTGTTGATGAGTTGGGACAAATTTTCATGCATTCAGGACTCATGAACTCATCTGTAAGTGAGACCTCATGAACTCATCTGTAAGTGAGACTTCATGAACTCATCTGTAAGTGAGACCTCATGAACTCATCTGTAAGTGAGACCTCATGAACTTATCTGTGAGACCTCATGAACTTATCTGTAAGTGAGACCCCTGACATGCATAGATCTGTTTTTTAAACAAACCTAACATGAGGTCTTTCATTTCGACTTTTAATATTGAGTAATATTCAGTTACATAATTTGATTGCTTACAGTGTACATGTATTTAGTGCAAAAAGGTTAACCAATTGTTTTGTAAGAGTGAAACGTTCCTCATGTTTCAAATTTATTGAATAAAGATTATAAACAGCATCAAAATCAGAAAACAGATCTGTAAATCCTACATTTTGTACATGTTCATACAATGTAGATACATTCAACTTGAAAACCTCTTTAGCGAGGAAAATAATTCATACACATACATGTACATGTACAACCTTTAAGAGTTTGTGAAAATTTCATATGCCCGAAGAAATATAATATGTAAAAAATTTGATAGATGTACATTTTATTCATCATACCATGACTTTATTACACTTAAGAAATCTAATTTTGAAAATAAGATTGGTAATCCCAAATTGTAAGTTTATTTTTTGTCAGTTCATCTTGAATACAAGAAGTCTTCGCGATTAACCACTAGCCCAACAGCCCAGGTCAGTAAAATGTTCCTAACAAGAGGCCTCATAAGCCATATGAATTTAAACAAATTTTTGGAAAAACTGATTTCCAGGCTTGTTAATCAAAAAAAAAATCACATAGCAACTTTAATATATATGGATGCATACTTTACTGTTTGAGGTGATTACTTTGTAAATGACTGTATATCCCTTATTTAAGTATATATGATTTTATAAGATACAAATAGGAAATATAGTCATTCTCAAAAACTTGTGTTTCCAAGCAAGAAAGAATTGAATGGGGAGGATAAGAAACACAGCAATTGTTTGATTTTTTAGAATAAAACCATACTATATTGTCAGAAAAACTATTTTGAATAGAACATTCTTTCAATTACATTTATGCAGTGTGACATTCATGACCCATGCAACATACATATTTTGTACATGTAAAGTATTTTTTATGTATTTTACATGTTCAGGGTCTTGTTAGGAAAATTTAGAAGGGTGTTGCGACATTCTTTCCTTAAAAAGTTAATTCCAATGATACTTCGCAATAAACCATTTTTTATGAGTAAGATGAATTACACAGTTTTGACATTTGTTGTGTGTCCCTAAGTTAATTATATCATTAGAATTAATCACAATATATTAAGTCACATGCAAAGTGTTTATTACTGGGTAAATACCTGACAATCTACATGTATGAATGAATGAATGAGTGTACACTTTATTTGCAAGAAGCATATATACATGCTACGGCAAAGACAGCAGAGAACAATAGTAATAAAGTATACAATAATATTATGACAATACATGTATATGTGATCTTATTTTCCAAGCGGCTTAAAAAAATTGCATAGTTTTACTGTCAGAGATTTACAATGACCTAGTTATAAATAATCTAATTCATACTGATTTGGCCACGAATAGTAAAAATTAGGTAAAAATTCTATTCTCGCAGATCTATATGCTGGACAAGATAAAACAAAATGTATATGCACCTAGAGTTATTGCCCATATAAAGCATCATAATTGGATTAAAATTTGTTCAGTCAAAACAGACTTTATGACAAATATACTTGAAATAAAAAATTCAAACTATGGAAAATAATCAATTATTCAAAAAAAAAGTAATAGCAATACCAATTAACCCATAAAAAATGTAAACAAATAAAAATGAACAAAACTAAAAAACAGACAAGTGTCATGCCATTTCAATTTCTAGATGGAGCATATAGATGTTTAACAATAACATGTTTAAGTTTAATTTTCAGCAGAAATTAAGAAAGAAGTGCATATACATATATATGTAGATTTGAAATATATTTTTTTTATTCAGGTCACAAGAAAGAGATACAATTTTCTGTTTCTATATGCGTAAAGATTTTTTAAAGATTTTTTTTTGTTCACAATGTAAAAATAGTTTGTGGCAACAGTAATAAATGTAAGTTTAAATATTATTTAATTATTTTTGATTAATAAATATGTAATGGTGTTAAGATAAACTTTGTACTAATATTGACCTAGTTTTCTTAAGCAGGTAACACCTGACATCTGTCTTACTTTATTTTTATCTACTCAAATATTATCAATTCATTGTCAAATTTAAATGATTTTGGAAAATGAAAATGGATTATTACTTTTGTTTTCGATTCAAAAATGAACACTAAAACATATATATGTTGATTAGCTTAAACATTTTTCTCTTAAACCTTATCAAATACAAAGTAGTAAATTGAAATAATATTTTACACCCCTGACATGAATATGAATCAATTTCACAAAAATGTTTAATTTCAAATATCAATTTATTTTTAAGTTATTTCAAATATATATGCAGCTATGTATTTTTCCCCATACATTTCATCTGCATGTCAGACAGGGTATTAAACATAACAATTTGTAACATTGACCAGTGTCTATTTGAATTCTTAGTTGTCAAATGTCAATCAAGTCTGGGAACTAGTGTGGTGATGTGTATTGCCGAAAAACGTGGTCACCCAGGTACATTTCGTATCTAGACAAGTATTTAAGCCATTTAAGCTTATTTTTCTATAGAATTTCAGTTGTAGAAGATTAGGCACCCACAAATATGCACTGACAACACATACCGAGAAGAATTTACCACTTTGTAAATAGAATACACATCATGTGTCTAGTTTGTTTACAAATACCTACCTCTGCGATTAAAGGGTCGCACTCTTACCGCTACACGCACTTTATCGGTACTCATTATATCCGGATCAACACTTAATTATATATATCTGATAATTAACCCGTTAAATAAGATGTGGTTGATATGAAACACATGTTTAGAAGTAATTATTTCCTTCCTAACCACTTAACATTCACTTCTTTCGCCATTTTCCATGTTCTAAATATCCGGGTATTTTCATGATTCACATCCACTTCCGGTGTCATCTCAAAGGCAGAAATGAATTGGGGACTTTTTCAAAATCTGTAAAGGGGTCTGGACCTTAAAGAATTTGAATTTGAGTTTTGCTTGGTCGAATACTCATATTCAAATCATTTCCCCTTGCGCTTGGAAGGTTAATATCGAATTTAAATATATAAATCTGGATAGGATAATTTTCCCGCATGGATTGGTTTCAGCTGAATAATCATCTAGTTTATACACTAATCATGATGCAATTGTGTTATGTTACTGGTATTACCTGGGACTATTAAACTATAAAATATATTATGTAACAGTTATTCAAAATTTCAGGAAAATCAACATTTGTTGTTTAATCTTTATTATACTCATAAAGAATACTTGTCCGAGATTTTACATTTTCCTCTAACTTACTTTATTAAATAAAGAGAGATGAAACTTGCATATTATTGTGTGCAAATATACTTGACTTTTAATGCCAAGTTTGAATATTTAAAATTGACAAAGAATCAGTTTACTAGCCCCAAAAAAATCGAGAATACGGGTCCGGCAGTGTCAATATAAATAAGGAGATGTGGCATGAGTGCCAATAAGACAACTATACATCCAAGTCACAATGTGTAAAAAGTAAACAATATTATAGGTCAAAGTACGGCCTTCAACACGGAGCCTTGGCTCACATCGACTTGAACAGCAAGCTATAAAGGGCCCCAGTGTCCATTTTAAAAGGTATACATGCACAAATTTAAAGTCAGAGTATTGAAATATATAAACCTCAGTAAGATCTACAAAAAGAACACTGACACGAACTGTTCTCCTAATTTCTAACAAAACTCTCAAATAGCCCGAAAGGTATTTCTGTTCTCATCTTATTCGGCATCTCGTCCCAGACTCGTGTATATATGAATTAGTGCAACCCATGCATGGATAATTGTCCTCACTCTGGAAACATAAGCTAAATTGTCCTTTCTGAAAGGGTATTACATTACAGTTTTCAATTTCGATAAAGTCATATAAACACAGTGGACATTGTTTATAAACAATTTGTATACCTGTATTGCTATCATTCTAATTCCCTAGCTGGTACACCAGGCCTGAATTCAGACGGGGACGCAGCCGCCTCATTAAAAAAAATTAAAAAAAATTAGAAAAATAGTAATTTATAGGTAAAATTACAGCCATTTTTTTTATTTAAAATATGATTCTCTAACTTCTAAACTCAGGAGCGCCACAGAACATCATGCCTGGACACGGGTGTAATTCTTCAAATTGCCGATGCTAGCTTTTAAGCATATTTGTTATTCTTGTCATAGCAAAAGGTCGAAGATGAGAAACACTTTTGTCTACAGTGCTTAAGTGTTTTATTGTTTAAGGTATATCGGTCATGATTGAAAATACATATTTCATTACGCACTAAATATAAAGTTTTGTTTGTACCACGAAATCGACTGCTAAAATTGAAACATGTTTTGCATTGTATGCATCACTTTTAGTTATATGTTTCAGGTCTCACCAAAAAATATGTACGCGCAATCCTTGCTGACATGCCATGGAGTTGTCTATAGTTTTGTTAATGAAGAGCGAAATAAAGTACTAGTACCTTTATTGAGCTGCTTCCATATCATAGGCGGATCCGGGGGGAAAGGGGGGGGGGGGGGGATTTTGTTGATTCTATATATAGGGAATCACTGAAGCATGACTGGAGCGGCCCCCTCTTAGGGCAGTCAGTGGCCCCCCTTTATGAAAATTTCTGGATCCGCCACTACATACAGATCACACCAGTAATCCATTATGTTGTGCAGACCCAAATAATCTTGCACTTAACATACTCTAGAGAGGGACTCTATAATTTATCTGTAAATCTGCGTGTATAACCACGCGGTGTGAGTAAATGTTTTTTTTTTTTTATATCTATTTATTTGGTTGAGTGTGAGGCTAGAAGGTGACTCAAAAAAAACCGGACGAGGTGCTTGACGCCTCCTTTGTCGCCTCTTTATCTCTCTGTGTCCAGCAGCCGGTATTTTCTTTCTTGAGCACAAGATTTTAGACAGGTGCTTGCCATTCTCAAATTTTTTGGAGTAAACTCAACAATGTTGAGCACGATTCTTATACTTCAAAATTTTATGACCGCATGAAATATGGAGTACAATTTTTTCGAGCATGAATTTAAATTTGGAGAACAATTGTTGTACTAGAAACGTTGAGATCTGTTTTATAACCGCAATTAAGTCCTGGTGACCACTGCATCTGGATAATTAAAATATTTGTTCATTTGTTCATTTGTACTAGCCACGAAGGGAACTTTACGTTATTTACAAACATTTTTATTTTATTAAAGTCGAATAAACCCAGACAAAACCCCCCGAAAATACGAATTTTCGGTTATACGAATTTTCGGTACCTCAGTAGTAGCACTATTTGCACATACCATATAAACTTTTTATTATAACAGTTTTTATTGATGAAAGAAACCAGAGTGCCTTATTTACGTATCAAATATAAGATTCTGTTTCTGGTGCATGGTCAACAAATACTGACAGTTATGGTTCATATAATATTATCAACTCCTTTTTATATCGAAAAAATCAGCTATATCGAAATATTATCTTCCATGCATGCAGTTATGAATGATTATAACTAATATAATATACATGATATAACACATTACTTTAGGGCACACAATGCTATCAATTATTAATATTCTAAATCCGTCTTACACACGAGTGATTTTTTCTTTATTAAACTCATATTTGAAAATGTGTCCTAAAAGCCGGATCGAACCAGAACAGCAAAATACATTACTTTTAAATTTATCACCTTTAATTTTTGGCCTGGTGAAAATTATTTGACGTTTTTACCTTGGTAGTACTTCATGAAGCGAAAACGTAAATGTAAAAACATAAAAACCAAATAGATATTCCCTAAAGCATGTTATATACCAGGTTATTACTTTATATATTACCAACATTAAGACTGGAAATGGGGGGGGGGGGGGTATTGCAGATGGAATGCATCTTTAATATCATCTTCTATATGAAGAAAGACAACTGAGAGAGAAACTTAAGGATGTACTTAGGTGAAATTACAAAAATATAGAATTTAAAATTGATACTATTAGTCGAAAGAGCATTAGTTAAGGAACAAAATAAGCTAAAAATATTGATAGGTTATGGAGCTCCTTTTCGAAATATTTGATTTTTTTTTTTAAATGGCGGGAAAAGGCTGACTCGGACTTCTACCTTATATTTGCTTTGGTATTATTTGGATCTCTAGAATCTGCTTAAATTTTGGTAAATGACCTTTTATGAGCTATTGAAGTCTTATATACAAACACAAATGGGTGTTATGGGGCAAATTATTTTACCCTGTATTGTTGGGAAAATACAAGGAGTCCGAACAGCGGACACAAATTCCTAAACCTGACCTAAGTACGTCCTTAAAGACACTATGTCCGTTATGAATTTGTAAAATAATGGGTTGCATGATCAATTATTGCAATTTTTCCATATTTCATATAAACTTATAAAATACATTTTCATTTTGCGTAATATTAGATTTGAGCGTTCATGAAAAGCTCTTTAGACGCACGAAACTTATAAAGTGTTATTTTCAGTAATATTTACACAAAGTTTAGAAATGTCCAACAACTACTGGTAGCGTTTAAATTTGGAACACATTTTTTTAATTTCTTGGTTCTCATTGCTTTTTAATATCTGTTTTGATTTGAGGTTCCAACTGTTTAGTTCGTCAACACACATCTTTCATTGAAAGCCTTGAATCTTGAATATTAGTTTTTTGAACTACACCTTTGGATTTATTTTGAACTTTATTTTGTAAACTTTGTTGTGTCTCATTGGCACTCATACCACATCTTCTTATTTCTATTTAACTATGGATTAAGGTTGAATTACATCTTTGGATTAAGGTTGAACTACAACTTTGGATTAAGTTTGAACTACATGTCTGGATTAAGTTTGAACTACATGTCTGGATTAAGTTTTAAATACAACTATGGATAAAGTATGAACTAAATTGAACTACATCTATGGATTAAATTTGAACTACACCTATGTATTAACTTTGAACTACAACTATGTATTAACTTTGAACTACAACTAAGGATTAACTTTGAACTACAACTTTGGATTAAGTTTATGTATTAACTTTGAACAACAACTTTGGATTAACTTTATGTATTAACTTTGAACTACAACTTTTGATTAATTGTATGTATTATCTCTGAACTACAATTTTGGATTAACTTTGAACTACAACTTTGGAATAACTTTGAACTACAACTTTGGATTAAATTTGAACTACAACTTAGGAATAACTTTATGTAATAACTTTGAACTGCAACTTTGGATTAACTTTGAACTACAACTATGGAATAACTTTGAATTACAACTTATGATTAATTTTGAACTACAAGTTTGTGGTATGGGATAGTAACTAAAAAAACTAGTACCCCACCTTTTCGTTTCACCGGAGCAATCATAGATACTGATGGAATGTTTAAAACTTTCTATTTAAATTACAACTATATATGATCAGAGGAGGATTTAGGGAGTCCAGCCCTCACACCCTATTGGGGGAAAATTGGGCTGATTATTTAAGGAATCACTGAAACATGACCGGAGCTAGACCGCTATTGGGCAGTCAGTGGTCCCTTTAATTTCAGGACCACCAGGAAGAACACACTACCACAGGACCACCGATGCGAACACTCAACCACAGGAACACCGAGGTGAACACACTAACACATGACCACCGAGGTGAACACACTACCACAGGACCACCAAGGTGAACACACTACCACAGGAAAACCGAGGTGAACACACTACCACATGACCACCGAAGTGAACACACTACCACAGGACATTCAAGGTGAACACACTACTACAGGTACACCGAGGTGAACACACAACCACAGGACCACGAAGGTGAACACACTACCACAGGAACACAGAGATGAACACACTAC